AGGCTATTACAGAAAAGATATCTGGTTGTAACCAAAATAATAAAAAATCGTATACAGAATGTTATCAAAAACTTACTGACTGTGGTTATGGTTATAAAGTTGTATGTTGTTATGATCATCAATTTACTAAACAAATTCAACTATATAGAGGTGAAAAGGCTGTTTACAAATTTATGGAAGAGATGTTAAAAGAAGTTAAATATTGTAAAAATATTATGAAAACTCACTTTAATAAACCATTAAAAATGACCACTGATGATGAAGAATTTAAAAAAGCTGATGAATGTCATATCTGTAACAAAAAATATACTAACAAAGATATTCGAGTTCGAGACCATTGTCATATCACTGGCAAATACAGAGGCTCGGCTCATCAAGATTGTAATTTAAAACTTAGAATAGACTCTGATAAATTAAAGATCCCAGTAATATTTCACAATCTACGTAATTACGACTCTCACTTTGTTGTGCAAGAAATCGGAGCTATTGTTAAGAAGCATACATACAAAAACAAAAAAGGAGAAGATATTCAGATGAATATAAATGCTATACCTAATAACATGGAAAAGTATATGGCTTTCATGTTAGGTAACCATCTCACCCTCATTGATAGTTTTCAATTTATGAGCTCTAGTCTGAAAAAGCTTGTTAGTAACCTACCTAAAGAATCATTTAAATACACCTCTAAGCAGTTTAAAGGTGAAAAACTTAATTTAATGTAACAAAAAGGTATTTACCCATATGATTACATAGATTCGTTTGAAAAATTTGATGAGGGGTTGCCTTCAAAAAAAGACTTTTATAGTATTCTTACTGATGAAAATATAACAGATGAACAATACCATCATGCAAAAAATGTTTGGAATACATTTGATATACAAAGCATGGGTGATTACCATAATTTGTATTTAAAATCAGATGTTTTGTTATTAACTGATGTATTTGAAAACTTTAGAAAAACATGTTTAGAATACTATAAATTAGATCCATGTCATTATTTTACATAACCAGGATTATCTTGGGATGCTATGCTTAAAATGACAGATATTAAATTAGAACTAATGACTGATATTGACATGTTTCAATTCATTGAAAAAGGTATGAGAGGAGGTGTTTCATTTAATTTCTAATAGATATGGTAAGGCTAATATCAAGCATATGGAAGCATTTGATAAGAATAAACCCTCAAAATATATAATGTATCTTGACGCAAACAATTTATATGGATGGGCTATGTCACAAAACTTACCTATTGGTGGTTTTAAATGGTTAACTGAGAAACAGATTAACAACTTAAACCTTGCTGAATATCAAGAAGATAGTAAAAAAGGTTTAATTTTAGAAGTTGATTTAGAATACCCTGAAAAACTCCATAATCTACATAACGATTATCCTGTTGCACCAGAAAAAGTTAAGGTAACTAGCGACATGCTGTTAAAATATTGTAAGACGATTGCTTCTAATTACAATATATCAACAGGTTTAGTTAATAAGTTAATACCTACATTAAATAATAAATACAAGTATGTGCTACATTAAAGGAATCTTCAATTATACTTAGATCTTGGGGTAAAATTAAAAAAAGTACATAGAGTACTTGAATTTAATCAATCTCCATGGTTGAAAAAATACATAGACTTTAATACTAAGAAAAGTACTAATGCAAAAAATTCTTTTGAAAAAGACTTCTTCAAATTAATGAATAATTTGGTATTCGGTAAGACCATGGAAAACTTACGAAAAAGAGTAGATGTTAGACTAGTAACTAATAAAAATAAATTATTAAAATTAGCTTCAAAACCTACTTATGTAAGTAGTAAAATCTTCAATGAGAACCTTTGGCTGGGCATACGATCAAAGAAACATTATTGTTAAATAGGCCTTCATATGTAGGGATGTGTATCTTAGATTTAAGTAAAACGTTGATGTATGATTTTCACTACAATTATATCAAGAAGCGGTATGGTGATAAAGCTAAACTTCTTTTCACAGACACAGATAGTTTAACATATGAAATCGAAACTGAAGATGTCTATCAAGATTTTTGGGTTGATAAAGATAATTTTGATTTTAGTGATTACCCAGAAAATTCACAATATCATGATAACACTAATAAAAAGGTTATTGGTAAAATGAAAGACGAAGCCGCTGGAAAAATAATAACTGAATTTGTAGGTCTTCGGTCTAAAATGTATAGTTATATAACATATGATAATAAAGGAGATAAAAAAGCTAAAGGAATTAAGAAAAATATTATTAGAAATGAAATAAAACATGAAGACTATAAAAAAACATTATTTGAAAAGAAACAAATACATCATACAATGAAAACTATTAGAAGTGTAAACCATCAACTTAGTAGTTATGAAATTAATAAAGTATCACTCAGCTGTTTTGATGATAAACGGTACATATTAGATGATGGTTGTACTAGTTATGCTTATGGTCATTATCTTATCAATTCAAATAACTAAATAATAACAAACAGTTATAATGTGTAGTAAGCATGTAGCGTGGGCCTCTGTTAGAGTAAAATCATACATACCTGCTCCTCATGTTTGACTACATATCACATAACTGTTTGTAACAAGTAATTAATACAAAACGGTTTACCGCATATATACCTTTTGTAATAACTGTTTGCTGCAGGCAGTTTGTAAAACATTGTATTATTTACATTATATTATTAAAATGCACTGGTGACATGTGCTAGCTACATTAAACAACCATTGTTAAAAACATGCACTAAGACACGCGCTTGACGGACAAAAAAAAACAGCTATTTAGTTTCCATAGTTTTGTAAAAGAGCATCTGTGACACTGTTTGCTGTAAATAGTTTGTAAAACAAAAATTATACAAAACATTGTATTATTATACATGCGCTGATATTTACATGTGCTGGTTACATTAAACAACCATTGTTAAAAAAAAACATGCACTAAGACACGCGCTTGACAGACAAATTAAAAAACATATAGATTCCATATTTTGAAAAGAGCATTTCTGTGTCTGTGGCGCTCATATTTTCAGGCTTAGATGCCTGAAAATCTTGGCCCCGAGCAACGATTTAAAAAGATGCTTTATTAACACTTGATTTCTAAAGATAGTTTTTAAAGAGCATATATTAAGCCTCTGCCATTCTCGAATATTCTTTGAATATTCATCGAATACCACTTCGAGCTCCGAATTTTCACTTTGTGAAAATTTTCCCCGCCGAGCCCTAAAATTCTCGGAAATTCCATTCCCCTGCTCGATCATGGAGTAATATCACTTCGTGATATCACATCATGATCTGTGCTGCCGAATTTCCTCCGAAACGATGCTTTATCAACATTTATTTATAAAGATAGTTTTTAAAGAGCATAAATTAAGCCTCTACCAGTCTCGAATTCTTCGAATTCATCGACTAAACGGGGGCGAGCCAAAAATTTTAGCTAGAAGTTTTTACCCACCAGGCTCGCAAGAATTCTCGGAAACTCCATCCCCCTGCTCGATCACTTCGTGATCTGCGCTGCCGAGTTTCCTCCGAAACGATGCTTTATTAACATTTGTTTGTAAAGACTGCTTTTAAAATTTAAACACATCTATATATTTCAAAAACATATAGATTCCATATTTTTAAACGATAGATTGTAACCTCGAGATTTTTACCCCCCTTTGAAAACAATGACTTTTTGCACAGCTTTGTTTACCTGGCCTTTTTGCGTTGGTTCCCCTTTAAAACATGGCCTTTTTCCCACTACTTTAAAACAATGACTTTTTTGCATAGCTTTCTTTACATGACCTTTTGTGTTGGTTACCCTTTTGAACCATGGTCTTATTTTGCGCTAGAGCCCCCATGTCTTATACTACTAACTGCCATTTCTTGACATTTTACTAACAAAATCTCACGACAGCTGTACAACATCTACATACCACAAACCAACGTACACACGACTTCTGACGAACTATTTTAGTTTCACACAACTTTCATACAAAACCGGACTTATACGCACACTAATCGACAGAGCATACAAACTAAACAATACGAACAATGGCTTTCAACGAGACATAAAAAACATCACATCAACTCTCTTACGAAACTCTTTCCCACTACACTTTATTAACAGAACCGTAAAACGATATCGCGACAACAAACAAAGCAACAATCTCAACTTAGACACTGAAACTCCTGACACGACGATCGCAACCAACACAAACAAAAATTCCAAAATAACAACTCTATATTTCAAACTACCATATATCGGACATTACTCACGACACACACAACGCAGACTTAAAAACATTAAGAAACGCTTCTGTACAGGTATTGACATCCGACTAATTTTCAAATTATTCAAAATCAAGACCTTTTCTCATTCAAAGACCCAATCCCTGATTCGATTAAATCTATGGTGGTATATGAGTTCAATTGCGCGGGATGTAATTTCCGATACAAATGCGAAACTTTGCGTCATTTATCCACCAGAATCAGGGAACATACCACAACAGACAAAAACTCTCATATCTACCGACACCTTCTTAAATCTCACTATGTAAAACCAACTTCACCCTCTTGCTTCAAAATCATCGACACTGCCGACACCTCATTCTCCCTTAAAATAGAAGAAGCACTCCACATTAACAAGACTAACCCAAACCTAAATGTTCAAGTTTTTAAAATTAATATAATATTTAGTTTATAATACGCTCGGACGCTGTCCATTAATTTATCTTATTCCTATTTTATTGCTGTAATTTCTGTATCATATTACTTTTATATGAACCTTGTATCATTTAATATCTCACTCATACTGAAGATGGCATCATGAGATGTCGAAACATGTCTATTCTAAAAAAAGTCGTCGTGTATATTAAATGCGCATTAGCAATAGTGCTTTTACGAAACTATTTTCGAAATACTAATTTTCCTGTTTACCAATTAAGAAGACAATCTAGATTTTTCGTGGAGGAGTTGAAAAACTCGAATACTTTTGCGCGAACAAACGCGAAATATGATCTAAATCACTATCTTGCCAATATTAATAATGAAATCTTTAGCCTGGAGTCTTTTGTTCAGTTTCCCCTGCTTCGGATGATCGCCTCTTCCTCGGAAAAGCCCGGGAGGTTCGATCTTAAAAGTCCCCACTCTTTCTCGATGATTATCCATCATGCAGTAGCCATACTCCTGTAAAATTTCTTCCTTCTTTGCTTTGATGACTTGTTTCTCCTCTTTAGTCATGTTTTTCCTTGCTTCGTTTTTCTAAACACAAACATCAGGAAATAAATAGGAGTTAAATAGCATCAGGGGGGTTGGGGCTGTGTTTTACGAAACACGAACTAATGAACAGTAACCCGTTTGTTAATTTAGCTGGGGGAGTGGACGCTATACTTCACAAAACACAAGTTTATCTGGGGAGATAATGTATTTAAATTAGCAAGATTTAAATTCAGAATTATACAATAAATTATAGAGCAAGAAAACTTCACAATCAAGATATGGTTCAAGTAAAAAAAACAAACAAAAACAATAAGATAAAAAGCGCTGCTTCTTTCATCGTCAAAATTAAAAAGAATCATATTTTGGATAGTAGACAATTATCCAACATCTGTTGACACTCTTCCAGTCAACTTTCTTACCACTTATCAAAAATGTCAGTTCACCGCTCAAAATAATTTGGTCAAAAAATTTCCATAGTTACAACACAAAGAAAAACTATCATTACCAGAACATAATAAGCATTAAATTCTTTGAAATTACATTTAATGAGGTCTTTAATCGTCCCTCGCTCTCCATCCGTCATTTCTTTTCTCCAATCTTGAAAGAAGTTGTCGTTAAAAATCTTCTTCGACGTGTATTCATGGTCCAACATCTTTGCGTAAAATCCGGCCACCTGATGAAAAAGAAACTCGAAATAATAAAGAGATACATCAAAGATGTATCCACGATGGTTTTGTAGGTTTGGGGAAGAGTGTTCTTGGTTGGATTTCAATGGCTACTTGTTAATGCAGCATTCAAGAGTTTTTTGTCCAATTATGTTACATATTATCGTAGGGATATTTTTGAAAGTGTGCTCAATTGAACACTAACCAGTAATGCTTTTGCTTAATTGTTTGGTAAATTGGTATTTTGTGCATAAGTAATTGGTAGCCGAACTGTACTTGAGAAGTACACAACTCTCTTCTGAATCCATATTTAAGATGCATCAAGAATTCAACAGCATTGCTTTCGGATATGAGAAAAGAATGTGGAGTTTATTTAGTTCATTTTATTTCTACTCCTGTAACACAGGGTCCCATAAAACAGCCGAAAAAGGGCGAAAAGCATGACCTTAGACACATTTTTTAACTACTGAGTAACTCGACATATAATCGCCATTTACCATGGCAACTACACTCTTTAAGGTAATAGAGCAACAATATATTCTAACCTCTTCACTTTTGGGTGAAAGTTCTATTTTTACACCTAAAGAATGACAACCGAAAATAAAAGAATGCTATAAAATTAATTTATTCCTTTTCAAGTTAAATATTTATCATAACAATGAATACTATGTTATAAAAATATGATCATAAGCTCTTACCGTCGTGGTAAAAGTTGACATCATGAGGAAGAGGTTCATACTCCGGTGGGAAGTATGGCCCCTTGTGTTCTAGTGTGAGCCATTTTATACATTCCGGATGTTTTTCCTCCTCCCACCTGCAGCACAAAAACACGAGTTGAAGTGAGAACAATGAACTGTAATATTAACTGGAACGCTAACTCCAATACTTGGGCTAAAGGGCATTTTGAAGCCACCTTTTTATCTGCGTTTACAGGCAAATTACCTAATCTCGTGAGATAAAACGTATTATGGCCATTTGTGCCACTGTATTTTATGTACAACGTTGTTTATTTTCGAAAATAGTATTATGGAACTTCTAAAAACGCAGAAAAACTAGCATCAGTATTGGTTTCAAAGATGGCGGAGCAATTAGCGTTCCAGTTAATATTACAGTTCACTGGGTAAGAGTCGTGCCCAGGATTCTCACGCATTTTGGAAACTTTTACTTGCCATTTCCAAACTTCCTCAGCCTTCTTTTCTTTTTTCTCCTATAATTTAAGCACGCATGAGTAACAACCCCTTACTACAAAAGATAGTCCTAAACATAGTTATACCGTTTTCACAGTTTCTGTTCCTTTCTTCGTCGTTTCTTTACTTGTCTTGGTCGTCTTCTGCTTCTTTTTGTTCGCGCCATCTTTAACACCAACATCAGATTTCTTCTTTATTTTTTTCTGCAGCGAATGGTTAAGATTTGCAACCAATTGATAAACATTACGAGAGAAAGGAAAAACATAATCGCTGATCTAATACTGCTGGCTGGTAATCATCTTCGTCCTCTTCGTCATTTGAGTCTTTTCGTTTTCTTTGGTTGACAGATTGCTTTTTTGCGAACCAATCTTCGTCCTGAATACCAAAAAATCTTTAAGACTAAACGATATGGATGACAAACATTGGAAAAAGGTTTTGTTTTACAAACCTTGAAGCCTTTTTCGACATAAATAAAAAAAAAAAGAAAACAAAACGAAATGAGGGACCGCATAAAAACCAATAAAAACACAAAGTGCCCCTCCCCCCCGGAACCTTTATGCCATTTAACTGACAACATAACTGGACGGCAAGCTTTATTTAGACATTGCTGAGCTTACATGACAGTTATATTCAAATCAATGCTTCATTCATACACCGAAGTTACATGACATGAAAACCTGGAAACGCGTTAAATTCGCAAGTTTGTGATTTCTGTAGGACTTTTAAACTTTGTTTCTAAATGCAAAACAATCGATTCTCTTGTGAATGTTCGACGTACGAATAAAATGATAATGTGGTTTTGAACGTTAAACAACAAAGTAAAAAAAATACCAATGGCACATCATCTTCATCTGAATCTGAATAACTTCTTTCCTTCTTCACTTTCTTTAACGTTTCCTCCTTGTTTTTATCGACTTTTTTCATTCCTTCTTTTGTCCCCTGGTCATTTTCCTCGCCATTTCCAGTCTCCAACGCATCTTCCTTCTTCATTTTTTTATTAATTTTAAGTTTCAAGGAGCTATTTGAGGAGGATTTCTTTGCAACATTTGATTTTGAGGAACCATCCTTCTTGACGTTTCCGCTATTTTCATTTTTTAAGTTTGTGTTGGACTTTGCGGAGGTTAATTTCTCTGCTTTGGCAGGACTAGGCGTGCTCTGTTTTTCCTTCTTTATTTCAACCGTTGAATTTGAAGAAAATTTTTTAACTACGGATGTTTTGGAACTTTTTAAGTTGTCGGACTTGTGTTCAGAATTATGAATTCCAGGTTCTGTTTTTGTTTTTTCACGCCTAAATCAGTTTTACTCGATTTAAGTTTCAATTTCTTAACGGTTCCCGAATTTGTGTTCTTCGTCGGTTCCTCTCGGTTCAATTTCGGAATCTTCTCGGATTTCGGGGAGATGTTTGACGGGTTTTCTCTTCTTATTTTTTTGACTTTTTTCACGGATTCACCATCTGCATTTTTCATTAGTAAATTTACTTGATCGTTACCGTTCCTAATCAAGGACAAGTCAAAGCAATTAACTCAATGAAAGTATAGAATGCTGATTCATCAAACACTTTAGCACGCATGTCAAGTGAGCAGCAGCGTGGTACGAAACATTTTTAACAGTAAGGGAAGAGCGGCAGTGCTAAGCGCAAATTTTACTGAGGAGGAACACGAGATTCTTGAAGTACTGGAATGGATTCAGAATGATTTTGGAGGCGGTGGTCTAGTTTGCTTACGATTTGCAGCTATTTTTATTATTGAATTCTGTTCCTCGTATATCATAAATGGGAATTGTCCTGTGAAAACCCATTTCTTGGAAAACAAATCAAAATTCATTATGCTTAACTGCTTGTGATATTTATGTACGTATTATAAAGAAATTTTCCACCTCCCGAACCTTCACCCTCTCCCGCAGTATTTCTGTTATATTTATACATCATAAACAAATTATCAATATCCTGCACCTCCCCCCCTCAAGTATATCTACACCTAATGAAGAATGAGCGTAATGGCATAAAAACTTACGTCTGTTTGGCTCGAGAAATCTACAAAATAAAAAATGATGTAAATAAAAAAAAGCGAGACGATAAAAAAGAGTATATGAAACAAAAGACCAACACAAATATATGATAAAAAGGTACTACACTAAAGTGCTTACGAAACAAAAATGTTCCTTTATGTAATCCGCGAAGGCTATTTTGTTAGGATTTGATAACAGATCTGGTTTGACGTTGCGGCCAGGTCACCCGCGCTGAAATCACTCGAAATAAAAGATGTTTACTGTGTTTACGTAGGCTTATGAAACACGGGCAGACCTTTGAGAGAACTCGAGAGCAAACCAGTGCAAGCCCAAGACCGAAGGTCTAGGGTTTCGCCTACTCTCGGGTTCTCCCAAAGGTTTTCTCTCTCACGAGATCACGAATTTTTTGAAATCACAATCAATTTATAAAGCTCAGTGCCTTGTACTTTTTCCAGGAAACCTGGGAATGACAAATAACAAAATTTTCCTTTCGTACGCACTTTGGAAACAATACCAATGATGTAATAATAACAACTCACCAGTGAAACGTCATCATAGTCGCTGTCGCTCATGTTACCATCAGGATTTATTAAACTTGACTACCAAAGAAAAAATCCAAACTTACGCCCGTATTCTAAAATTTCACTCACACGCAAACACACTCCCATCGAATGCGACTGAAAAATCATGTTATAATTAATCAAAGATGGAATTTTCGTGCTAATTATTGCTCACTTTAACATGTTCTTGCAAAAATTTAGCCATTGATTAAAAAAAGCGCAAGTTTTAAGTTGCCCACAACAGGCGCGAGAATGTGCTTTTAGAATACGGGCATTAGATTTTTGAGCTTTCCCTAAACAACATTCAAAGGAAAAAACAAACTCATTTGTATTGGTTTTTTTTTTTTGTTTTTCTTAACCTTATTCTGCGTCTTCTCTGGCTTTCGTTCTTTCTTCACTGTGACTGTTTCTTTCTTCATGCCATTTCTATAAAATATTAAGAAAATTAAAGAAGAGTTTAAATCCTAAAGTAATGAAAACCGATCAATAGAAAGCCAGTTTACAAAACTCAATTAACAGATACATTCTTCGCCGACTTAGTTTTGAAAATGAAAAAGTAGAGGAAAATATGAATATTTTGACAACCGCAACAATATTGCACATGGATCAACAAAAAATTTTCCAATAACATACAGGCAAACCCAGGTGCGACCTACCCGGTTTTATTTTCTTTGCCTCTGAAGCTTTTGCTGATTGAGGATGGAGAAAGGCTTTAACTGTTTCGGAAAGTCTATTATCAACAAATAAAGTTTCCCCACTCAGCCCTACTAGGTACAGTACCGACCTCAAGTAACCTGACTTGACTCGCGAGTATCGAGTGGCGAGTGGACGAGTGACTCGCGAGTCAATTGCGAGTTACTCTCGAGTGTGAGAAGTTTGCGAGTGAATAAGTGACTCGCTGTTTGCAAGTGAATAAAATAACTCGCTGTTTGCGAGTGAATCGAAATAGCTCGCAAAAATTTCTTTCTTCAGTAATTAAAAGTGACAAGCATAATCTTAAGTGTAGTGACAAGTAAAATTCGTTCAACATTTTGAAGGCAACGGTTTATATCTTTTTATGAAACATCGGAGCAAAACGACTATTCATTTGAAGCAATATCTCGGGACCTAATGACGTTAAAATCTTTTGAATTTTTTACAAAAGCATTTTAATAACTTCACATTTTTCATGGCACAAACATTATTCGTAAAGCGGTAGAGACCATAGAGAAATTAGTAAAAAAATCAAAGTAACTCTCAAAGATTTCCTTCTAAAAGTCTTAGATTGTTGACATATATTATCTTAGGATAGAATACATTCAAAAACGACTAGAGCAAATTTATATATGAGTTTCAAGTGCTTGTGAAGCAAAAATTTTCCTTTTCAAGGTGTATTTACATTGAACAAAACTTTTAAATTGAGTGTAGACTTTATAAAACAGGTTATGAACATCTCTTTTCATTCTCAAAACATAGAAGTTTTGTATGTGACGTACCATTTTGTACAACCAGTAAAATCATAACACACAATATCCCTTCATTAAATAGATAAATTCATCATATAAAATACATCCTTTATTATGCAACTGAATTATGCAATATGACATCACTGGTTGTGCAAACTTGGACACTCCACAAACTTAAATATCTTGAAAAAGAAAAGAGAAATGCCTTACTTGTTTCGGAAAGTCTAGTATCTACCAAAAAAGTTTCCCCACCCAGCCCTACTTGGTAGGTTTTAAAACACCTAAGGAGAGGGGGGCAAAAATAAATTTTCCCTAATTCATAAAAATGTAAGATTTACAACTCAATGTCTAGCATTACCTCCTAATGAAGAGTGTCTGGAGAAACACATCAAACGTTCCAATTAACAAGCAGCAATATGGAAATCGTCACTGTGCCCCACCAAATCCATTCAACCATGGATGCAAAATTGACAAAAAAAGTCTATCTCCATTGATTAGATGGCAGTTGTGCACTAATCGATGTGCCAAATATTTACAATTGTATGCAAATGCACTACTGATTGCTCAAAAAATAGATGTTCTTGTAAAAAAGCATCCATTTCTTCCACTGAACTCTGTTAATGCCTTTCATGCTTCAAAAAAACTGTAAAATTTGAAACGGGATTTGTATGGTGAGGTATTGGTTGGAAAAACTCCAGACGAAGAATTGTCAAGTGACAATGAGTCAATGAAGTAAATGAACAGTGAAAATTATCAAGTAGTATCATGATTTCACATCTTTCCTGATTGAATCTTTTCTTCGTATTATAACTCCTCTTTATTAACTAACTGGTAAATTTATTTGACCTTGTTGCAAGCTTCAATATTCTGTCAACTTGTAAAATCTTTCTTGCAAGAAAATTGTATTTCGCTTTGTTGCCTCTCTAAATAAACTGTGAGCCCACGACTCGGCTCAAAATAACAGCGGTGAGGGCGATACTTCAAGTGAAAATGTCGCCTAAACAACAAAACATGAAAGATCTTCGTCGTCAAAATTCTAAGAACTGCAGGTTTTTGCGAGTGGGAACAAATAAATTCGAGGCCAAATCGCGTGCGGCTTTTAATCTCCGAATTATGAGAAAAACACGCTTGTAGTTGTATTAGAAATCAAAAGA